TTTTTACAACAAGTTAAATCAACCGTTAATTAACTAATAACACCACTTATTATCCTTACTTTGCATCAAAAACAAGTCCATAAAAATACAATATAGATACATGTGTAATATATTTTTTTTTGTCTGATGAAATTGATAAAAATTGCATATTCATGTTAAATTTATTTATCAATCATTTACAAAAACTTTTATTAATTATTATTTTTATAAAAAAAAATTTTTTAAAAAATAACAAAAAAAAAATTTTAAAATGAAATATTATGGGCAATGCCCCGAAGAAACTTTATAGTTGATCTAATGTTACTGTCATTTAATACTGTTTGAATCCATATTTCACAATTACGATCTTGTGGTTTCTGTGGGGGTCATGGTGTTCCTTGCAAGACCATTTCTACGTCAAGTTCGACTTTCTTAGATTGTCGGTAAAGTTTCCTGTCGGTGAAATGTTCTGTCGGTAAAGTGTCTTGTCGGCAAAGTGTCTTGTCGGTAAAGTGGGTGTCGGTAAAGTGTCCCAGACCCCTCTGCAAGTTATAAGAAATTAAACCTTTGCCGTACGACTCTAATACACCAGAATAAGAAAAAACCGCAGATCTGGTTGAAGTATGGAAACGATTTCAAAAATCAGCAAAAAAAATTACGAGTTTTGGCAAGCAATAGTGACACGACGAGCATTTAAATGGGGTATGATTAAAATCAAATAAATAAATATATTTTAAATTTTTTCTTTAATGATAATAATAATAACAATAATAGCTATAAATAAAAAAGTTTATATATATAATAATCTATCTTTAATCGAGAAAAAAAAATTCTATTATTATTATTATTTCAATCATGGTCTGATTACTAATCTGACATATGGAACCTATACAATGATAAAATCAATATTAATATCAATATATGTATATTAACAAAAATAAAATAATATATATATATATTACCTCAACATCTTCTTCATTACGATCATTGACACACATTTCTAGAACAAGTGCTCTGACATGTGGTGGAACTGGTTTCTTGGAAATTGTTTCAATCAATTTTGATATTCTATAATATTTATTTTTGAGCATAAAATTTTTTTAAATTTTTATAAAAAATTAATTTAAACTGCAATATATATATATGTTAATTTACCTCATTCTTAGACGTTCTTCTCTTTTTTTTCCCATTAAAAAGAAAGAATATAACATGCTAACACCGCAAGATAACATGGTAACATCAAGCTCATGTTGATTTTTGAAATGATCCAAAAATTCTTGAAGAGTAAGATCTCCATCAACTTCAAACCGATCCCATATGCTCCATTCAACATCATGATACTTTGTTAAAAAAAATTAAATAATTTTTTTTTAATAATTAAATATTTTATATAAATAAATATTTTTTTTATGTACCTTGAATTTCGGCATAGCAATAGGTTCAGAAAATCCGATGAATGGTAATGCCAAATTAACAAAACCATTTTTATAATCTTCAAGTTTATTTTTTCCTGCAATTATCTTGTACAGTTCTAAACAAACCAAACCTGTTATCAAAGAAGTTGTTGTAGCAATTGCCGGAATGATTTTACCAGCTATGAATTTTGTTTTATGACGATCAGCAGGTTGAATACTATAATTTGTTGCTCGCAAATTCGAAGTTGCTGTAATAAAGTCAATATGAAAATTTGAGTCGTCATCTTTCTCGAATTCCACTGGATTCAATCGATATCCTGCTAGTGACGATGGCTGTGGTAAACTTGAAATCAGTTCTTCTAATTCTTGTTCATCAATACTTGCTTGTTGAATTGTCTCATTTTCTTGAACTTGAATCTTTACACCAGCTCTTGGTGTAAATTCAGGTACAATTACATTATTTAAAACACTTTTTATATATTCACGATCAATTTCCCCTATTAAAGGAAGGAAAAAAAATCATTGTTAAAATATTCATTAACTATGTTTAGTTATAGAAATCCTATATATTTTACCTTTTAAACCATAATTAAATGCGTGTAAATTTGCTGCTGCTATGATAAAGTCCATGTGCATTTCCTAAATAATTAAACAAACAAAAAACTATAAATAAATAATATTCTTTGATTTTTTCAAATATAATTTTTTTTTAAAAAAAAATAATATTACATTATCAGGATCAAATATTAATGGATCGGGTGCTCGTTTTGGACCTGACCAAAAGTTTGTGCCCGATGATGTAAGCTAAAAAATAAATAAAAGATTCAATTGATAATAAATTATTTAAAGCAATTTAACTCCAACAAAATAAAATAATAATTATTTCTTACAGAATCTTTTGGAAAATTAAAAAGCAATTGTTGAATATTATTATTAAAATATTCTTCGAACTTCAATCTGCCCCATACAATACAATTATCAAAACTTAATGGCTTAGATGTAACTAAAAAATTTTTAATTATCTCTATAACTTCTTTGGAATTTCCGCCTTGTTTTAAGACAGAATCAATATAATTTTGTTGGCTTAAATATAAATTAACATTTTCTGCTGGAGATTTAAATAATCCCTCGAAAAGATCACGGGCCCATTGAATGGTGTGTTCAATAGCATTAGGGAAATTTTTTAGTGTACAGCTTGGAATAGATTTTTCAGGAGGATCTTGTGATGATGAATAGGATTCTGTTAAGTAAGGAATCACAACTTGCGTGTTGCCTTTTGTACCCAAAGTTCCAGATTCTAATAAAGGTTTTCTGTAATACACACACCTTCTATCCACATATCTTCCTATAAAGATTATAGATTTATTTAGATGAGAGAATATGTTTATATTTATAATTGTATAATCTTGTAAATAAAGAAAAAAAAGAATAAATATACGCACGTGCATCAACATTGTCCAGAGCATTTGTAACACCATCTAAATTTTCAAAGAAATCATCATTGAAAACATTTTCTGTCTCGGCACCAACACGGTCTTGATAAACTATAACTTTGTTTCTTGTATGAGGATTCATCTTAGAAATAGCCGCTGCTGCTGTTTCAGATTTTAATTTCTAAAAAATTTAATATTATTAATGTTTTTGTATTAATTAACGCGTGCACATTTATGTATTATTTTATTAACACTTGATCTCTTATCAAACTTGATAAATTTTTTAAAAGAAAAATAACAATACATACCCCTACATCTCCAGGTCTAAATAAAAATTGCCTATTTAAATTACTTTTTTCAATTGTATCCATATCAGTGATATGAATTACACCTCTATGTCCGGTACCTAAACCCATCATGGCCCAATTTTTTAACATTTCACACCCAATAGCACCAGATCCGACCTAAATCCAAATAAAATCAGTCTGACAATAAATTTATTTATCTATATATTCGATTTAAAATTTTTTAATGCTTTACCAAAAATTCTCTAAAATTGGCAATTTTTTCTTGAAATTCATTTCCAAAAACTGCAATTTGACCATCATAACGAGAATCACGCTTTTTTGATAATATGGTAAAAATTTTTTATGTTAAATAATAATAAAAAAATTTTTTACTATTGATATTAAGAATTAACTTACTGGAGCACAACTCTCTTCATTGAGGACAACATCGTTTGGCAAAGATTCCAAAGAATCATAATACATATATTGAAAAATCGGACAAAATTTACCACTACATGCTTTCAATACTTCCTGAGCTACTAAACCACCAAAAAATGCAACCATTGGAGATAAGTCACCACGAGCTCCGTATGACAATTGTTTTAAAAGTTTTTCATTAATCTCAATCTGTAATAGATAGATATAAATAAATATAAATAAATCATAATATATACTTGTCTATATAATTGAAAGAAAAATTATTTACCTTTTCTTCAGATTGCTCATTAATTTCTTTAGATAAGCATATAATTTCTTCTGCATCAGCTTCGTTATGTGGACGTGGAAGACCCTTGTTTTTTTCTGCAAATTCATTTAATGCCTGGAAACCTATATGTAATTGCTCTGGCCGATCCCATTTTCCAAAATCAGAAATAAGGAACTCGGGAGTTTTCAAAGATTCACGTAAAGATTTCTATATATATATATATATATATATATGTATGTATATATGTTGATTATTTCTCACACCTTTAAAAAATTATGATTATGATAATAATTTAATGATCTTACAAAGTGGATTGTTTTAGGCATTTTAACTTGAGTAAAAAGACCTCCACTTATATAGTCCCCAAAACTTGAAGTGTCCCCAATACTAAATGTATACGGACCTTTTTTCAAATGAAATAATAATTTTAATATATAAATATATAAATGTATACATATATTTTTATTTTTATTTTTTTGAAAAAAAAAATTGATCTATAATTACCAAGAACTTTTATTTTTCTTGGTTCACAATTATTTAATTCTTCCATCCCTTTTATTTCTGTAAAAGTTACATAATCACCATCCTCTAAACCATGACGTGATTCATCAAGGCATGCTACAACACTATCTGATTCTTTGGAGACTGCAGCAATCATTCCGCCAAGTGGATCTTCACCGGTAGAGTCATTGATAACAAATTCATTACCAAAATCATTAAATACAACACTATTGAATATAAATTTATTTATTTATTAATAAATTATTTAATCAAATCTATCATTAATGATATTATTTACCCAAAAAGACCACGGATATCAGTTGATATGAAACTTATTCCATTTGCATGAGTAAAATCATTAATCTCCAATTGTTTTTTCAAAGGAGTTTCTGTTAATACAACGACCTACAAAATAAAAAAAATAATAACAATTACTAAATTTCCAAACCAAATATCAAAAAGAAAAAAAAAATATTAAAAAAACATACTTGAAAATTTTTTATCTTATCGTTTGTCAATTCACCATCAAGAACAGATACAGGCACATAATGATTAAGTTCAGCTAACCTTGAGGCGGACACAATAGCTCTTGGTTTTCCAATGTCTTCCTCTCTTAGGAAAAACTAAAGAAAAGAATAACGATGATCATTTAATCAATTAAAAAAAAAAACAATAATAAACCCACATATCAAATTAATGCCATTCATTAAATCCATTTGCTCTAACCTGTGTTGATAAATCTGAAAGTTTTACTGGTTCAGGATCGTAAAGAGTTACACTTTTGACACCAGCAAGAACAACATTCTTGGCTATTTATTTCCATAGCAATGTTAATTAAATTTTTTTAGTTTATAAATTATTTTCATCTTATTCAATGTTATCATTATTATTATTTATAATCATCATCATCATCATTATTATTATTATTATTAATTACCAATTTCAACACCAAGACCTTTTAAGCCTACAATAAGAATGTTTGAAGTACCCATTTTTTTCATGGCATCATGACCAAGCACATAACTACAATAAATGATAGATCAAAAAATTTAAGTCAAACATTAAAAAATTTATATTAATCAATTTTTTTTAAAATCAAAAAAACAAGAAAAATTAAATACAGTTGTCGAGAGTAAAGTCCCTCGTCAATAGTTGATTCCGGTTTTTCAATCTCCATATCTTTCACTTTTTTATTGTTTATTCGTATTTTGAAATTATAAAACTTGACAAAAATAAAATTTTATTTGTATATATAGAGAAAGAGATGATAAAATATAGAATAACGGATAAATTTGTAATGATGATTGATAAATGTCAAACTTGCTGCGGACAAAGATTAATTGATAGTTGTACAAAAACGCAATTCAAACATAAAAATGGCAAAATGAAAATGAAACTCAAAATTCCCTTTCAAAAAATGCAACAAATAAACAAAATACATATCTGTCTGTTCTACATATACTATTTGTTGTACCTATTCTTCGTGGAAGTTATATATCAAATTTTCTTTTTACTCTAATAAAAATGCGAGGGCTTTCTGTAATTTTAGAATATAATTAATAATTTACTTTTAAATAAGGAACATGAAAAAGAGCAGGAAAATATAGCCTGTTTATTTGGCAATTTTTGTTTGCTAAAGGAGGCTGTGTTATAATTTTCGTCTTCTTGTCATCCACCTTCAATAGGTGATTATAAATAAATAAAATATATGTTTCTATCGATATTATTATTATATAATGTTATTTATGACTAAACTAATACTAATATCATAGTTAAGGAGTCCTTAAGCTCGAAACATTACTAATGTTCCTAATCCTTGACATAACCATATTCATTATTACCTGTTTGTCATTTAGTTTTAATATGATATACAATAATAATTTTTTTTTTGGTGAAAATTATGTATTTTTATTTAATATTTGAAGAAAAATATTCAATATATTTGAAAAATTAAACCCGAAAAAAAAATGTCGTGCGCGAAATCAGGTCTATTCATGCCAATTCGTTTATGATCCATGCATCTCCAACCGGTATTGAGTTAGGATTGCTCGCATTACGAAGAATTGGAATGTTTTGGCTTGCAATTTGATTTGTGCACGATAAAGTTTGCGAAAATCTCTAAAATGAAAGGTGAGATTTGAATTATCATCTCTACGTTAACCATAAGGAACATTAATAGTAGGAAATTGGTTCATTATCTGATTATATGCCAATTGGCCGTTTCTACTAATCCAAGTATGATTCGGCGTAATGACTTCACTACCATCACCAATGATTAATTTTTCATGTTGGATGTACCTTGCACATGCGGAAAAGATTTTTTGTAGTTCTTTAATTGTAGGAAACTCGAAGAGGGCATCTGATATATATGCGCGTGTAGATATATATTGTTGATTAGTTTAGAGAAAGAAAAAATGCTCCTTGTAATTTTTGGATTTTTTTATAAACCTTAAACCTTCTTTATAATAATTTATATGCATATTTTAAAAAAATGATGGATCATTACCGTGATTCTTTTATCCAAAGTACGTCGAAGCTCAAGTACCCAAGTATACAACCAGGGAAATTAATAAGATGATACCGAATATCTGAAGGCACTAAATGGCAGTAAAAGAAGAGGCTTTGATTCTTTGCACAATCTAAGCACTATTTTAATTATACCATAAATTTCCCAATAATTATCATAATTGAGATGGTCGAGTCTTCCAAAAAGGTAAATATTAAGTTTATTATTATAGATATCATTGTAATTAGTATTGTGAAAAATTGCTAATTATAAGAATTGCGAATGAGAAAACATAATATTTTTTTGAAGTTGAAGTAGATGGTTGTTGGATAGTCTGTCAAATTAATTTTGGAGTCAAATTTATTAACGAAATAATGTAACTCAATTAATACAATTTTGGGAAAATATCGATTAATAAGATTTTGCTGCGAGTTCGTAATTATCACAACAAGTATTAATATTTGTTTCAGAATATATCATAATTACATTCAATTTTTCAATCAATACAAAGTATATTTTCTTTTACAACGTTGTTAGTTTTGTAACCCATAGCCTCTAATCTTTTATATTCTTCTAAAACAGCCCTAGAAATCTTTAATTGAGAATAATCAAAATCAAGGATCTGCAATTTTCTTAATGAGGGAGCTCGACTCATTGCAACATACACTTACTTGCCCTTCAGAAAACATACTTTCGTCAACGTTCAATGTTACGTGTGCCAGGGTCAATCCTTGAGTTTATGAACAGTCAGAGCAAATGCATTCTGAAGAGGAAATTGTTTTCTCTCCCTTTACCATACACAAATTTCAAAATAGTATCTCGCCGATCGTTCCCATTTTATTATTACGATTTTTTATATAAACCACATTTCTTTTTTTTACATTTTCGAATGAGTTTTAGCATGGTAAAGTATTTTCGAAAGAGGCATGATTTGATTTTAATTCCGAATTGTTACGTTTTTTAGTATTAGTGTCGTGGAAAGTATTTTCCCGTTTTCAAAAAAAGGCATGGTTGCTTAATATTAATAGTAATTTCGAATCGTTACGTTTTTTAGTGGCGGGAAAGTATTTCAAAAAAGGCAGTGGTTTAAATATTAACAATAAGGAAATTATGCATCTTCTTTACATTCCAAAAAAAGCTTGGTTAATTCTTTGACAATAATAAATTAATTCTGAGTCGTCTAGTGATGGAATTTAATTAAATGATAATATTATAAATACAACCTTGAACGTTTTAAAAAATTTGGGGAGTGTTTAATAATCATGATCGTGATCAGGATAAAGATAATAACTGATAATGATCAAAAGTTTATTTTTTATACTAATACAATTTTTTCCCTTTTCTTTCGAAAATTTCCAGACACATGACATGTCCTATTTGATAAAATTTGAAATTTAAATTGTAATTATTATCTTTTTGTCATGTATATTTTAATTATTTATTAGATGATAATGAAGTTGAAATTGACGGTGATATAATGGAGATTGATGATGAAAGTCAAAATAGTGAAAATAATTATTATGATGAAAGCGAAGCAAGTGAACATGATTTAAGTGATGTGAATTAATAATTATTTTAGAAAAGAACTTTCCAATTCATTTGAAATTATGAATACATTCTCTATGTCCAATAATAGATCATTAGTTTATACTGGTAATGTAAAATCCACTTTACATAATAAAAGACATGCAAATAAAATTGCTGCCATCAGATCACAAAAAATTAATAATCATTTATACATTCCAAGTTTCAAATGATGTCTCTTCTTCATTAAATAATTCTAGTAATGTATGTATCTTCTACTTTAGAAAGTTCTGGTAAGATGGATAATTTGACCTTGATGATGAAAGTTCTGATGAAGATAGTAACAGCAATTTTTCTTTATCTACATTAGAAAATCAGTTAGAAAATAACAAAACATAGACTCAATATTTAAGACTTGATGGTTTTAAAATATAAGGAAATAGATACTAGCAATATTATTACCCAATCTTTAAATGAAAGGTATTTGGGCTGCAAGATTAATTAGATCATACAGTAAAAATTTGGTGAATTGAATGCTTCTTAAAGATTAGTAATTTAGTTTCATTGTTGAATTTATTATTTATTTTAGGAAGTTATTGATAACCAATTAACTAATTTATGTTATGCGCCCACCTGAATTTCAATTCGCCGATCCATTCTTTCAAGATGGATGCAAAGGACCATTGGCATTTTTAGTTAATGTCGCATCGATATGTAATATGTCTTGAAAGATATTATTAATAAAAAGGTATGGCTCTCAGCAGTGTAGCTTTATAAAAGACAAATCCGTATTTGATTTTTTACTATCTAGATCACAAATATAAAAAATCTCTTGTAATTAAAGCAGGAATTACAATTCGTCACAATCAATTGAATAGGAGGGAGTTCAGTAAAATCACTCGTATGTTTTATTTAGCTATTTGATAATTGAATATTTTATTCGTTACACAATATATAATACAAATTTTCATAAAATAAAATATATACAATGATTATCTTTGCAAAAAAAAAAAAAAGAAAAAACATCAATAAACTCCTTTTCTCAAAGACCTCCTTTCAATCTTGCAACGAGATGAATATTTGACTCGTGTACAATATCATAAGATGTCAGTGTTCTATTGTCTTCTAACTGCTTGCCTTGATATATAAATCTCTGGTATTCTACAGGAAGCGACTTTCTTTCAGTATACAAATTTTTCAATTCAAGTACGGTGCTGGATGGTTTGAGGATGATAGCAGTTGATTTTTGGTTATCAGTCGGATTAATATCCATAATAAACACTTGTATACTACCTTCAGCCTTTCGAACAAGTCTGACCTTTTCTTCTAAACCAATGTTACAGTTTTTTACTGTATGGTTATCTTCAAGCTGTTTATCACCAAGATATAATTCTTGGTTCTCGATTTTAATTTCGTATGATTTTTCTATTTTTTGTTTCACTTGATAAATGGTATCATCGGAAGAAATATCAAATGGCACTTTAACTGTCTGATCAAGATAAAGAATAATCGTGAATTTTGACATTTGTTTTAAATAATAAAGATTTTATTGAAGGAATATTGTTTTACGTGCTTTGGGAGAAGTGAAAAAAATAGAATTTTCCTTTCCCATAATATATTAATCATTAATATATTTGGCTTTAAACCTTGAAAATCTGGAAATTCCATTTCGTGATCATAAATAAACAAAACAAGTTTCTAACCAAAATGACGCAAGTCCAGAGATCGTGTGAAATTTTTAATGTTTATCAAAAGGTTGATGGATTTCATAATTTCGGTCATTTTCCAAACCTTAAATTATCACTTTCCGTTTAAAATATTGTATTATTCAATATTTCTCGCTCGAACAAATTTCTTTGGTATCAAACAAAATTTTGATCAAGTATGTCGGAATTGGACGAATGTGCGATTTGTTGCGAAACAGAAGATAGAAGGTATCATGCAACGACTTCACAATGCACACATAAAGTCGTTATTTGTGTGGAATGTGTAAATAAACACATTAAGATCCTTCTCAATGAAAAACAACTCCTCAAAATTCCTTGTCCCACGAAAGGATGTAACAAAATAATGGAAAGACATGACATTAAAAAGATCGCAACAGAAGAAATCTTTGAAGAGTACAATAACCGTTTTTTTAAAATAAC